CAGTGGGAATTGAACTTGTACTCAACCGCTTGGGGGTGCGACAACTTCACCACTTCACTAAGTCGCCACACCCTAAATATATTAATTTATTGATTTACTAATTTGTGTAATATATACTGTAAATTATAAATAAAAAATTAGTATAGCTTAAAGTTAGGGTGAGGTAGCTTTAGGATTAGAGAAGGTTATAGTTTATACTAAAATATTGCAAGAAATATTTTTTGTTAAAATACCAAAAGCTATTATATAATCAGAATTTTGAGATATCAAATATATATGTGTATATATACTTGGTATACAAATAGCAATTGTTATACAATTATATGTGATCTAAAATTAGAATTTAGAAAACTAGTTGTCAATTCTTGCTACAGAGTTATAGGGAAGTAAATATTCATGTGATTAGCTAATTTATATCGATCTAACAGGTTATGCTAATAATAGATTGTTATTCTGAACAATCTCTATATATATTTATATTTATATACTATAGTCAGGGATTTTACTATATTTAGTAATTGATGATTACACTTTATTAAGTAATGATTATTATTCAGATTATTTTAGACTTTATTTTCAGATTGTTCTACATACTTGACAATTAGCCAATCAAATTGAGAAACTATATTACTGTATTAATTGACTTTAACTACTTTATGAAATTCTTAAAACTTAAATACAGAAATATACACAATGTTGCAATAGAGGCATTTACGTACATATGTACAAACATAAATATCTAGAGTTAAGGTATTCAGTAAATTAGTACTATACAGCAGTACAGATTCGAACAGGCATATGAAAATTAAACTAAATTTTAAATCGGCTAATTCTTTTATAAAATATAGGCCACTACTACCACTAACAGTAAATTTGATACAACAACCTACTGAAGGTGGCAATACATATGATAGCAGTAATTATACTAGAACTAGTATCTCTGCACAATCTATTGTGAGTTTTTTTTATGAAACATAGGCTTTTATCAAAAAATCGGATACAACGATCTACTTTATGTTAGGTTAACAAAATTTAATTTTTATAAGCAACCCTTTTTTAATGATTAGGGTTAGGACAAGCTCTAGTATTTTGTTAGGGTAAGGGCAGATAGAAAGAAAAGTAACTTTGGTTTGACAAATTTTTCTTTTACCATATTATTATGATTTTTAGTCTGTTCTAATATACTTTTCCATACTGTACCACTTTACTACTTTACTATATGCTCTATAGCTACAGCATTGTTCTTTGTGGTGACAGTACATCAATATAAACCCAGAAATCAAGACATTAAGTTAAGTAAATTTTATTCTTACTTTGTCTTATTCATATAACGAATTAAATTCTAACTGATCTAACTTTTTTTTTCTTTTCATATAACAATGAGAGGTCATTGTTGCATTAGATAGCTTTCTTAGTTTTATTGGTATGATTTATCGTTGCTAGTAAATTTTGTTAGTAGCTTTTTTCATTTGGTGTTTAGAAAATCCTTGATCCAATGTTGTGAAATAATATGCTAAAATTCATGATAATTATAAGAAATTGAATCAAATATAGTATCAGAATTAAGAAACTTATTGTATTATAGGTAAATGCATTTATATTAAAAAATCGTAGTCACTTGAGATTAAGAGCATAAAGAATTACTTTTAGATTGAGAATTATTTGTATTAAGAAAAGCAACACTTTAACGTGAAAGTGCAATTAAAAATTAATTACGATCTTTGTCGTCATAAATACTTCATTTTTATTTAATTGTAGACTTATTAAATGATTAACCCACTACACAAATGTAATAAAACATAATTTTGTATATAAATAGATTTTTATTTTTATTAATAAAAATATTATATTTACTACTATATTATTTTAAAATTATATTGTTCTGTGCTTTCATACATAAATGCAATAGTAATAATAAAGATAATAAATAACATCTTTGAAAAAAATATCCTACCCAATTATACTTCATTAGTATTAATGTTATTTTTAGTTAATATATTTCTAATTTCTTGAAGAATATTTACTAAATCTTCACGGGACTTATTCGATAAATCACGAAAGCACAATCGATCTGAATCACCTAAAAAAAAAGCTAAAGTATTAATAATAGATAAAATTTGTGATTTGTTAAAGAGCTTTCAGTTTTCTAAAGCTCTGCCTCATCGCATATTATAAGAATTGGATGCTAAATACCTAATGGTATTTTTTTTAATTAATTTTGCTTTAAATTCAATTCTCTTTATATGTGCAATTTCACTAAATCTTATCATTTCTTCACTTAATATCAATTCTCTACTTAGATTTTGAAATGCACAATTATTGACATTTGGATTTATGAATTGGGCTTTTCTTATTTGAACCCAAAATCGATACGATTTAGCAGTAAAACTAGGACGTATATGAGGCTCATTGATTTCACTCTTGGAATATTCTATGATTTTAAAAATATTAGTATGCAATTTCAAAATTTAGTACAATTACATGCTGCAATTTCTCAGTACCATTGTGAAGGTATTGGAGGAATTAATGATTTTAATGATTTGTTAATTTCTTCAAGTATTGTATCATAGCCTTGATATTGATTTGAAAGTTTGAACCATAATGTAATAGCCTTTTCTTGTATTAAATTTCAAATTTCAGGCTTTAATCGTAGCATCTGTTCTTCATCAGCAACCTTGTTTAATCAATAGATTGGATACCACCAAGCAGATCAAATAGACGAAAACATTCATTTGGCTACAAGTTTTAGTAAAGGCCTATTAAAATGAATACTGGTATGAAAGTTAATAATTGATTGTAAATAAATAAAAATTTGTTTATACTTTAATCTAAACGTATGATTAGTTTGATTTTGAGCCCATTTTAAATAGCCTTCGACAGAAGGATTTTCTTCAGAAACAATATATGGCTACATTAATTCAGATGCCATCACATGCCGATATATATTATATATGGAATCCCATGACTTATAATGATCAGAGCATTTTTTGAAATACTGGAGTTGGTTTTCACTTCGGTATCCTTGGTATTTGACAAAATCTTTTAGATCAATTTCCCAATTTAATTTGATAAATATCTTTAACATATTTATTTCTTCATAAAGGGCACCCGGAATTAATATCAGCCAAGAAAAATCTTTTTTTATTTTTTGTATATGATGATACAGTACTCTGTCACAGGTAACTACAACCTATTTATGGCTACCATCTTTAACTTCAGATATTTCTTCAATATGCTCAAGAACTTTTCTAACATTAGCAACCGAATTTAGATTAATTCTTATTGGATCAGGAATAAAGATTTGTGGCATATAAACTTCACTTTCTGAACTGATCGTTGTTTAAATATGCTAGAAAAAATGGCAAGTGATTTTTCAGTGGTATTTATAGTCTTATGTTGTTCGTCGATTATCTCAAAAATCATTGGTAATTTGTTATAACAATTAGGGCAAACATGTTTCTTATTGTCGATATTAGAAGTTTGACAAGCTAAGCATTTTTTCATATGTTCTATTTGGCTTTGATGATGAACCAATTCATCGATTGTATTTGTTTCTTGATTTTTCTCAGTGCAAAGCTCATCTAAAATAGAAGAAAGATAATTAGTAAGTTCTTCATTAATTTCACTATTCATGTCTGATGATAAATAAAATAACTCTTCATATTGTTTTTGATCAAGTTCAGTATATAACCAAGAATTTTCATTCTGAATATTATTACTTTGGCTATAGTTAAATGCAACAAAACTCGTAACTGTATGAAATATAACCATAT